GCCGTTCGGATTACACCAATTTGTTACCCTTCCTTTCAGGTTGTTCGGGGCTCCGGCCACTTTTCAGCGGCTCATGGACAGAATCCTCCGCCCGCATGCCGCCTATGCCGCTGCCTATCTAGATGACATCATTATTTACAGTCAGGACTGTAGACCAAAAAGGAGGTGAGGCAGTTCCTGGGGCTGGCAGGATATTATAAGAGGTTTATCCCTGGGAGAGAGCGCCGTACATTCACTCCCCCCACCTACAATCCCTGCTGGTACGAGACTCGAACCCGCAACCTTTGGGTTACGAGTCCGACTCTCTAACCATTAGGCCTCGACTTCCCCATAACATTTAACATTTAACATACCATCACAATATTTTTGTTAATTGAAATGAAGCAAAACATTTTTTTTTAAATAAAATAAAATCAAATATTTAAATAAACAAATTAGATAAAACAAAAATAAAAATCCAAAAATGACCAAAAAAGACTATATATATATATATATATATATATATATATATATAAAAGCTAATCATACACACGCACACAGTAAACATGTACAGAAGAGATTGTATAAGGATGTTCAAGACTTTCAGCAACAGACATCCTCTGAAAACATTTCACTTGCATTAGACAAACAAGCATTCGCTCTGTCGAGTCACTGAACATCGTAACAGACAAGCAGAAATGAGACAAACATATTTTTAAATCAAGTGAAGCGTTGTGGACGGCCGGTGGCATGCAGCATCACACTAATAGCTCTGCTAATGTAATAAACCTCAGCAGATCTGTACAGACTGCAGCAGCTCACTGTTATTGACAGTAATGAGGGGATTAATAAGATGGCATTTAGCTCGCTATCATACAGTTTTTTTCAACTGCTTACACACATTTTCAAAACTTTGGCTGTTTTTTTTTTCAAAACTTTACACACAAATCCAGGAATTGCACACACAAAATGTAAAATGCCTCACATCTCTTATAAATATCACAAACACATCTCAAAAGCAAACATTTGCAAACACCTTTGCCATAATATTAATTCCTGTTAGATTTTTGTGGTATATAGAGAATTGTGTGTTGCGTTTTGCAAAAAGTGTTTTATGAAATTGAAAAAAGGCTGAGAATTAGTGTATGGCTTTGCAGATTTGGTGTGTGCTTCTGCTGTTTGAGCGTGAGCTTTCAGAAATTGTGTGACGAGTAAAGATTTTGTGTGTAAGTAGTTGAAAGAAACGTCTCGGTTACGTATGTAACCCTCGTTCCCTGAAGGAGGGAACGGAGACGTCACGTCGGAGGACCGACGAAATTGGGATCTCGCTTAGAGGGACCAATCTACTTCGAGTGTAAACTAAACGAGCCAATGCACATTGGCATGCGATTA